AACGGAAAGGAGTATTTGAAATAAGGGGGGGTAGTTTGCGTATACCGAGGTAGACTTGTGGCAATGTGTCTTGTACTGCAATCAATCTTTTATTTAAGCATTCACTGTATTTTTAGATCATCTCTCAATGATCAAAAGTTTCTGGCTATTTCTGTCCAATAAAAACATTATGGTTAAAAAAATATGGTATTTCCCTCTCTTCTTATTCACCATCTCTATCACCGGGAGAACGCTGACTCTGCCTCAAAGTCAAAATATCCATGAAAGGTAAATGCTTTAAACTGATTCAGGACACTGAGGCAGCCACAACAGCACAATCAGACCCTCATGAAAGAGGACTTCCAGAAATGCCTCAGAAAGTGGCAACAATGGAATGAGTATGTCAAAAGCAAGGGGAGGGACCTGGGGAGATAGCTCAGTGGAATAAGTGTCTTTCCTTCCAAGTACAAGGTCCTGAGTTTGATTCCTGATGCCACCAAAAAATTTTAAAAAAGAATAAAAAATGAAATAAAAAGTAAAAACACAAAATTGAGACTGGGCATGGTGGCACATGCCTGTAATCCCAGCTCTTGGGAGGCTGTAAACAGGTGGATCATTATGAGTTCAATCTAGCAGTGAGACCCTGAACACCCTGTAGACCCTTCTCTAAAAATACAAAAGGAAAAAAAAACAAAAAACAAGGGAAGGTAATTCAAGGATTAATGGTAACATATCTTATACTGAAACACAATTTTAAATAAAAAGACGTATATTAGGGCCATTATATTAGGGCTCAGTGGCATAAGCTCCTGCCTGGCAAGCAGAAGGTCCCAAGTTCAATCCCTGGTACCTCAAGAAAAAAAAGTCATTATATTTTGTGAGATATATATATAAATTACTCGTCATATAGTTGTCTGTGCTGCTGTTGACTGTGATACAAACACCATCCATAAGGATGCATATTTAATCTTATATGACTTTTCCAAGCGTCTAACTGTGACAAACTCCTGGGCGACACCATCATAATCACAGTACTATAATACTTTAATCCTCGTAACTATAGTCTTCCCAGCTAGAGAAATCATGAACCCAAGATGTTAAGCAGCCAAGACGAGACACAAATGTACGTCTCTGACCTCACAGCCCACATGCTAACACACCGTACACTCCCCTTCATGAGACATGCTCACCTCAACAGCCTCATTCCACTAAGCTCTGATTTAGCTACAATAGACAGGACACTCACTGTACAGCTGGCCCGCCTGGACACCCTACTTCTGCTTTCTTCTTTCCCCTTTCTAATACGCTAGTGAGGTTGGTACTGTCATTCCCATTGCTGGGAAGATGGCTCGGAACAATTAGCACTTCCCTGGCAAGCGCAAGGGCCTGAGTTCAATCCCCGGTTCCACCAAAAATAAATAAATAAATAAAAATAAAAAATAAAGAAAGCAAAGGCTCCTAGTAAACTCTAATATTTATTTCCTTTGGCTAAGCACGTATTCCCTGGATTGAAGCAAATAAAAACTATATAGAGTCGTCCCTCAGTGTCTTGTGGTTCCAGGACTCTCCCGTGAGTGACAACATCTGCGTATATACAAATCCTTTGTATAAAATAGCACGGCATTTGTATATAATTTATGCAATCAATTGGGAAGTCAAACAACTCAAAATAGTGTAATATTTGTATATAATTTATGCACATCCTTCTGAACTTTAAATCATCTCTAAATAACTATAATACCTAATAATGGGAACACTAAGTAAATAGTTCCCATATTATATTAAGGGAATGGTAAGAAGAATCTGTACATGTTAAGTATGGACACACTTTTCCTAATATTTTTTTTATCTGGATAAAAAAAAGACTCTCTCATATGACAGCAAATTAATCCACCTCCACAAGTTCATAGTGTTGAAAATACTATATATTGAATTAGTTCTCAGTGCAAGATAATAATTTTAGTAACATATATCTGCTCTTGTTCTATTACTGAGGGGGCTTAAGTCGTGAACAAATGGCACTATCTTTCAGGGCTCATGTAAGTTTAATTAGTTTAATAAAGGATTCCAAGGCCTATGCCTTTGGTTAGAGATCCGAAGAAATATAGCAGGGATGCTAATTTTCAAAAATTTAGGAAGTTTAGCAAGTAGGGAATTTCCTAGTTAATAATTTTAAAATGAAAACGATCTGTGCTATTGCTCCCAGAATAAAATTTACTTAGTGATAGAACAGAAATCCAAACCATTCTGTTTTTCACTGGAAATTGATAGTGAAAGAGAAGGAAAAAAGAGGAAGCCTTCCAGATCTGTTAGTGAGAAAAGCATACAAAGACATTAGCAGCTGAGAAACAAAGACACGGAAGGCTTTCTAGGAGACCTTATCAAGGAGAGAGTCTGAGACATCAAGAACAAGGCTGAGCTTGTCAAGCCTGTGACTTGGGGAGAGAGGCCAACATCAACCCGTGATACCATACTCTGTGGGTCCATGTCCCATCTCCCCACGACAACAGCCAGGTACGGGGGCGGGTCACAGGAGCAGGTACACACGACGAGCAGAAAAGGCCAGAACACTAAGGGTCATTCTTAGCAAAGGCTAAGAGGATGTTGGTCTGGATTTTGTTTCTTCAAAAGCTATAAGCTCATGGCAATTTATTTATACAGAAACACAGCCATTATTATGACTAAGCACTGCAGTAAGAAAAAAATGTTTATTGAAAGCTTTCTGCCAGAAAGGGGCTCCAGGAAGTATAAGATAGTACAGTAGTTGAACAGAGAGAGAGAGAGAGAGAGAGAGAGAGAGAGAGAGAGAGAGAATGAATATAAAGAAAGGCAAAAAACCAGGACACTTGTTTATAAAGTATACAAAATAAATGATTACAATGATGAATTATATTGTACAGTGATGTCTCCATTCATTATACATTCATTGGGTGACATCAAAAGGAGTATCTTTACCTATCTGCCCAAACTCCCTGCCAAAGAGCCAAAGGTCCTTTAAGAGGACACAGTTTCCATGTCAGGTCCACACAAACTCTGGAGGAAGACTACACCCCGTGTGGCTCTCCACACTGACATTTATAAGCTGCAATTTAACTTTTCGAAGGCCCAGTTACTTTACCTGTAAAATAAGGATAAATCCTGCCCTACAGGATTCTGGTGCATATTGAGCAATTTAGTGTAAAGTGCTTTCAAAAACACTGAACCTTGAAAGTGGTATTAGGAGTGTTTGGTAAATAAATCAATCAACCCCTACCTGGGCACTGTTCCAGGCACAGAGGACCCAATGTCAGCTTGCAGAAAGCTTTCCTACGCTTTGTATCTCCCTTGATCTGAAAACTCCTAAAGTAGCAGCACAAATACTATTTGTCTACAACTTTAATCAACATAGAAAACTCAGGTGCAGAGACGGGGACTGTGCGCTACTGCCCAAATTCACAGTGGAGGGACTGAGACAAGAGGCCACTGTCCTCAAAGGTGCTGCTCGTAGGCCTCCTGCCATCAAGCTAAGGAGACTGATTTCTTCCTCAGCAGCCTTTTCTTGTCAAAATCTATTCCCGCCTTGTTTGTTTGGAGTCCCACGGTCTCTATTGCAGCAGGGTTTTCAATTTCTTGATTGAGCAACTCTTTCTCAAACTCTCGGTCAAAAGGCGCAAAGTTCTTTTGTTCTGAGAGTCATTTTGCCTCTATCAACGTTGTGAAAGGAGGGAACTCTGGGCACGCAGCCGAAGGCTATGACTCGGCAATGCTGTACCGTCTGAAACTTGCGCTACACATGAGATGGAGAAAAAAGGCAATTCGTAGCCTTGCTGCTGCTAGGGATGGCCGTGGTTGCATACTAGGTCTTCTAGGAGGGCGTGGGCACAGGAGGTGCCACAGCTCCATGCTGGTGGTCCCAGGGAACCGTGCTAAAGTGAAACTTCTTCAGAGGTCTGTGCTGGAAAAACTCCAGGCTAAAACTTGGGAGAACTCTACTGGCCTGGCACACTCCAATTTGGACTAATGGCCATTTTTCAAAAGGAATGAAGGTGGTCAGCACAAGTAAATCCTTATTTTGGAAACCACAGAGCACAATGACCACAATATCTCCCTAATTCCTAGGAAGGCACGCATCTCTCAGAACAAAGGGTGGCCCAGGCCTGGAGTTCACAGAGACTGAGACTGGGGCATTCTGGCTTCAGTACTGTTCCTGGGGCCCTTTCCTCGTGCTCCTCTAACAGCGCTAACAGCCCACTTGGGACTCATTTGGAGAAAATAAATGTGGTGCTCAAACTAGCTAGAAGCCTCAAGACTTCGAAGGAAAGCCAGAGGGCCAGGATGCCTGCGGGCATCGTCTCTTCCCCACAACAACTATGGCAGTCTTTTGCTCCCAAACAAGGAGCACTTTCTCCTTTACTCCATGGACCTCAGGGCTTCCTCCTCCATACTGGGGGCAGGGGAGATGGAGAGGGGCACCCAGGCAAAGCCTCCAGCTGACGGCATCCTAGATCTCCACTCATCTGACCGTAATAAGATCTCACAGCACTAGCAGAGCCCTGCACGTCCTCTTGCGCTGTTACCTAATATTATCATCACCCTTATTTTAAAAATGTATCAATGTTTCTCTCGCCTATCTAAGTGAAGAAGAGCAAATTCTGACCTTCGGTAGGTGCAAAACTGCAGGACTCCTCGCCTGCAGCTGGGATAATTGCTCAAACCTGTGCTGCTCCAAGCAGCAAGCACTTTTTACTCCCCTGAAAGCTCAAGGGACCTCTTCCAAAGGAAAGGCTACTTTGGCTTGGGGGTGGGGGAGTGAGGAACTCACTCCCACGAAAGGTCTCATTCTCTCAAATTTTGTTCCTGGAGTCAGAGAAACAGGAAGACTTCAGCTACCTAGCACTAGCTACCCCAAAGCCGTTGAGAAATGCTCGAAGCCCTACACCTGCCGCCCACCGGTCCCCACGCCCGCAGCCTCACCACGAGCACCTGCGGAGTCCAATGCACAAGGAACAGACTGCCTCTGCCACCGCCTGCGGCGCGGAGGGGAATTTGGCTGAGGAAGAGCGGGGCGCGGCGCGGCACCGCCCCCTCGCTCTTTCCGCGCTGTTGTCCTGTTTCCCGGGGCCCGCCCCAGCTGTCCCCGGCCCTGCCCCAGATGGCCCGGCCCCGCCCCCGATGGCCCGGCCCCGCCCCCAGATGGCCCCGCCCCGCCCCCAGATGGTCCCGGTCCCGCCCCCAGATGGCCCCGCCCCGCCCCCAGATGGTCCCGGTCCCGCCCCCAGATGGCCCCGCCCCGCCCCCAGATGGCCCCGCCCCGGCCTTTTTCCGACCCTCGCAAACTCGGCTCCGCCCTGGGCGGAGACTTGCGCTGCGGGTTTCGGACTTTGTATCCTCCAAATTTCCGCGGAGACCCTGTGAGAGGAGGAAGGCGGAAGGGTGACGCAGCAAAGATCGTCATACTGAATTGTACAAGTTTAAAGAGAAAAGGAAAAGCTTTGTAAAAGTAGGGATCACAGGGTAGAAGTCACTGATAGAAGTTCCTTTTCGACAAACTTCCCTTTCCCTGCGCTGTGGCAAGTTACGTTGTGTTCAGGGGAACACAGAGGAGAGTTTTAGAAAGGCATGCTTAATACCAATATCCAGAATCAGCCTACTCCAAACCTTCTGGACCTTACAATTCTCACACTAATACGTATGGGTCTATCTTCCGTGGTTTTACCTGAACAGTTTTAAGAATTCATGTTAACAAAACAGATAAATTTGTTTCATTTCCTTCCCGGTAATATATCTCACATGTTTTCCACATGTTTTTAGGTGAGCTTCTTTGGGAGGAGGGTCCTAATTTTACCCCTGTTGTATCTTAGGGAATCCTCCTGGCTTATTTTTCTAGGTTTGTGTTTCACAAAACAATAAGAAAATCAAGAAGTTACATTTGTGTCTTTTTTGAACTTCATGGCTTCCCCTCTCTATAAACTGCAACCCGGATGTGACATGAACAGGAATAACACAAATCTTGAGCTGAGATGAGCTGTTTAGAATTCCCTCCAAGAGAGTGTAGTACTGAAGCGATTTAAAATGCTTTTACTAAAAAATAAATAAATAAAATAAAATAAAATAAAATGCTTTTACTTGTTATGAAGTGAAACAGCCAAAGGCTTATGATTACAGAAAAAATTACAGGAGAGCTATTATTTTAAAATGTTTTCTGCAGAATGCTACCCGAACAGCTCTAGCACGTCATCTAATAATTTAATTATCAAATACGTTCAAACTTAACCAGTCAATAAAAGTGCTCCTCTTATACTAATTCTTAACAGCTATTGCCATTTTGTGTGTACACATATAACTGTCTGATATGGTATCAGTCCTCTAATAAATTTAATTCAGTAAACACTAAGTGAAGGCAAAGTGTTTGGCTTCACGTTAAAATCTAAATCTAAGGTAAGTTTCATCAAATGTTGCCCTCAAGCAACTGAAAATATAATAAACACAAAGGCTAAAATAAAAAGTAAGCTGCCATTAAACTTGCAGAAAGAAAAAAAAATCTCAATTTAGAACTAGCAATGATGGAGCATACAGTAAATAGGAACAAGGAAAAGACCGAAAGAATCAACACTTTCTACACATCTTCATCATAAGCTCTTAGAGTTGTTCCAGTTGTTTTAGTGATGATTCAGATTTTCGAACTTGCTTATCACCATTTTAATCCCAGTAAAAAAATCTTTCAGAGAAACTCAATTCATCTTTCAAGTGGTGTGATCCCCCAGTAAATATTAACAGTTTCAAAGGTTATTGTTTTAAGGGTGAGGAGTGCAAAGGTCATTTAGGAGGAATAGCTGCCATGACAGGACAGAAAGCTGCTTGTTGCAAAGAGGGGAGCAGAAATATCTGGAGAACAAAGCATTACGAATACCGCAGTTCCTGCGTTTTTAAAGAAGATGAAGGAGAAATACCAGAAAAGATCGCCATTGCTGCCGGGCCAGCCTTTGTAAGTGGGTGGAAAACAGGTGCCTTTCACCTTTCTCAGGTGACTTGGACCTTTGTGTTTTCTCTAAATTAACAGAATAAGCACCTGGGCAATCCAAGCGTGAAAGCCCTACTTGGGGATTTCAGTAAAAATACATAAGAATCTGTCTTAAGTTTAAGCAAAACAAGAAGTGAACAAAAAAAAAGCAATGTTCTAAACATTAGCTGCTGTTATTGTAGAATTACAACATACTTTTAAAATGTATGTTAATTGCTTATTTCTCTCGAGAATCTTATAAGGGAGTACTTATTTTTCCTATTCTATACATAGACACAGATCTGGAGCAGCTTGAAATTCGTGCTAAGTTGTGAAATAAACTCTGAACTTAATTCCTGCCAAGAGGCCAAAGGAGTTGCAACAAGAACAGAAAAGGAAAATGATACAATTCTTGACCCCAATGAAAAAGATTTAGCACTAATGCCATTCATGACTTAGATACTTCTCCAAAGGCCCCACTTGCAGTAGTACCACAATGGAGATCAGTATTCAACATGGATTTTGGAGAAACACAGACATTCAGATCACAGCAGAACCATAAAAGAACTTTCTGGAATGATGCAAATATTCAGGGTATGGATCCCCTGGGAGTATGCATTTGTCAAAGTTCCCTGACATGTGTTCTTGATTTGCGTTTCACCATATACAAATTTTATCGCTAAAATAAAATGAACTTTTAAAAATCCATGGATTTTATGAAAGGTGGCAAGAACCTCAGCCTGAAATACTTAGAGTAATGCTACCTTTAATGTTGAATTTAAAGTGCTGTAAGCAGGTCAAAGCACTGTAAATAAACAAATAGGGTCTAGAGGAGAAATGCTAGTTTATACCTACGTTTTTGCCTCTTCTAGGGGAAAAGTAGATATTGTTGTCTATTTCCTTATGTGTTCAAGAAGGGGGGTGTTCTTAAATGTAAGAGATTATTCTTTTCAATCATGCGGCCAGGTGGCAATACCCAGTCTTGCCAGGATTCCCTCTAAAGGTTTCAGACAACATGTGGATGGAATTATCATTTATGGGACTAATTAGAACCTTTCCAGGATGAACCACTCCAGGGATTGGTGCACCCTACCAAGGGCCAGGGAGGGTACTTGACCACCTCAGTCCCAAAACAATATATATATATATATATATATATTAAATAATGTAATCAACCCTCTTCTGGATGGAGTGATGTATTAGTAGCTTTAAAAGACTAAATTCATGGAATAAAACCTGAAAATATTTCAAGTTCAGGAAGCAGACACAGTACACTTATTTGCTCTCTCTATAATTGCTTTTGTTTCTTTGATATCATGTAGGATTCCTGCTTACAATTACCAGAATAAACTAATAAAACTCATTAATGTTTCTAGCACAGTGCCTCTCTTAGAATGATTACAGCTTTCCATGGGCAGAGAGAAATCACTAGGTAAATCCTTGTAGAATCTATTTTTTTCCCTGCTGAACTTGTTCAAAATTCTTCTTTTTCTCGGTTTTGATTTAGTACCTTTAGATCTCGGCATTATGTTGTGTTTTGCAGGGTGTTATTGACTTCAGCTAAGGAACTGTGAACAGTAATTATTTTGCATGACTAAGCTCTGGTACACCGTTGTCAGGCAGGCACTTCACAATACCACTAGTTTCAAAATTTAGAGCAGAACTGTCAAACAAGCAAATGCCTACACCAAAGACTTCTATTTTCAAGCTACAGGCATGAGTTCTATGAGACACAACAATAGAGGGAATCTTTGTGCTATTGTGAAAGCTCATGATTTGACAGTCTTGGAAGTGAAACCCTGTTTCTTTCTAGAAGAAATTTGCCTGTGGCAGCCACGGTCCACGTTTCCAAGCGTTGCTGAAGTTCAGGATCAATGTTGGAAAAGGGTGATATTATGAAATTTTATTAAGAGCTGTTTTGGGCGTTGGGGCAGAAAACAACTTATCCCAGACTGAGAACTTCTGTATTGGCTCATCTCAGTTGGACATCTTTCTGAACATTCCATAAAACTCCCATAGAGTTATCAATTAAAATTTGAGTAGTAGAAACATGATACATCCAAAACTAGTGTTTGCCAACATTTTACAAAGCCTAACATTGATGCACATGATGTGAAACATTAACAGTCAGAGATGTACATTTTATCTAAGTTAAACGTCTTTCCACTTTTCAGCACTGTCCCGTATGAACCACTGAAGAACAAAGAATTAAATCATTTCTATTCTCAAAATTGACCATTTATCTTTTTAAAATTTTAGAAGACTTCAGTTTTTTTTTACATGTTTCTCCATCCACTAATAACTTGGGCCTTAAGACAAATCTTTAGGGCAAGGATAATCTTCCTATCAGAAATTAGGGGGCAAAATAGTGATTAGCTTGTGGGGCCAGTGGGAAAATTCTGAGACAGTACATGAAATTCCTGATGAGGTAGAGAAAACAGAGGAATGGAGGGAGAGTCTCACTGAGTAGCTTACTCCAGAGATGGTTAATTATGCACGTCCCATTGCTACATCTGCTTCACCTCTGTCTTACCCAAAATTACCTTGTTTCTCACACCAATGTAAAGCCACATGATCTAACTTAGCTCAGATGTCTTCTTGTTCATGAGACTCCTACCCAGTTGGCACTGATTGCATTCTCTGGTGATTTTTTTATAGCAAATTATATCTACCACCTTGATGGCAAATTTATATCATCTTGTAATTCAATTTTTCTTCTAATTTGAAAACTCATACTAGACCATCCTAACTCACATTTGAATATGAATAACCCTAAATTTGTTTAAAAATCAGTATATACACATACATATGCATGTGACACTCATAGACACACTCATGTGTATATATATGTATATAAGATATATCTAAATTCTTGTATATTAATGTATAACATTAACATATTAATAATTAGTAACATTAATATTATGCTATATAATTCAGATAGATAGATAGATTGTTTGAAGATTAAACCCAGAGGTGCTCTATCAATGAACTATATCCCTACCTCTTTTTATTTTTATGTTCAGTGACAGGGTCTTGCTAAGTTGTCAAGTAGTTAGAACTTGAGGTGCCCTTGCCTCAGCCTATATTTGGCTAGGATTAAGAACATGTGCCAACATTCCCTGCTGTTTAGTTATATTCTTTTAAATGTGCATTATGATATTCACTATTTATCATGTTAAATATAATAATAAATGCATTTGATCAGAAATACAAAGCTTTTATGATATCCTTATCAATAGCATTTTAGGCACTTTATTCTTTTTTTTTTTTTTCTGGTGCAAGGTCTTGCTACACAGCTTGGATTCATAGTGATCCTCGTGTCTCACATCCCCAGCACGGAGATTATAGATGTGTACCATCACATGGGGTTTTGGTGGCCAGCATGGTGCAGGCCTGGCATGGCATGTGGTACCAGGGATCGAACCCAGGTCCTTGCACTTGTCAGGCAGGTG